CTTATACTGTGCAGGAGTACTGGGGAGGGGTGCGTCTCGGGCCTTCTCTCACCCTCCTCTGCCTCCCAGGAGCCACCTGGCTGAAGCGGCTGCCCTCTATAGTCTTGTGGATGAGCAGCTGCATGTCCTGGTCACCGCATCTAATCACCTCCTGGGGAGGCTGGAGCTCCGTGTCCGCATGGGCCACCTGGAAACGGCCATCCAGCAGGTGAAAGGGGAGACTGGCCTGGGAGATGTGGCGCTTCTGCTCCAGGCCTGCCCCAGCCAGGTTCCTGCTCTGGTGTAAGGACATGAGCCCCTCACATCCAGACCTCCCTCCCTGTCCCAGGTCAGCGACTGGATGGAGCAGGAAGGAAGCCGGTGCCTGCGAGCGCTAACCCCCAGGGACGGGAGCTTGGAGACAGTGAAGAGAGCCCACGTCGAATTCGAGGACTTCTTCCTCCAGGCTGCAGTGCGTTCCCAAAGCTGAGCGACAGGACAGGAGCAGAGGGAGAGAGGGCAATAGAGGGGCAGCGTGCTAGGGCAAAGGTGTGGAGCTGGACAAGCGCAAGAAAACTTCTGGAGACAGTGAGGGGACCAGCTTGGATCATAACAGGTTCAGCTTAGATGCTCCCTCCTCCGGGAAGCTTTCAGGGACCACCAAATCCAAAGACGACTCATCTCAGAATCCCTCAGGGAACCCCCAGAACCGGGGGGGGGGATGGAGGTAGGGCACAAACAGGGAAACAGACAGAAAGGGAAAACTGTGGGGACACAAAGACTTTGGGGTCGGGGAAGTTTTCCAGAAGAAGATGACACTAAGCAGGGTCCCATCTAAGTGAAGTAAACCGCCTCGGCAAAGGCCCGGGTCCCCACTGTATAGATGAGGGAACTGAGGCTCAGGGAGTCTCGTCACTCAGCAGCGGGGCAGTGGGAGGTTTCTGACTCTGGGGGGGCCTCAGCTACGGTGGGAGCTGAGTGAACGCCCCTCCTCTCCCCGCTCAGGCCCAGTACCGTCGAGGCTTGGAGCTGTCCAAGCAGGCGGCCCAGCTGGGATCTTCAGCCGGAGGGGCCAGCAATGCAGGGGGAACAGAGCTGCCGGAGCTGGCAGCCTTTGCGTCCACGCAGCGGACCTTCCAGGCTAAGCTGACCCACTTCTACATGGCCGCTGAGCGGCAGCGCACAGACCTGGAGACGCTGCTCCAGCTGTACCACTTCTGCAAGAAGGTGAGGCTCGTGGCCCCCTGCATGGCCCACCCCTCCAGCTGGGAGGCAGGGAGCAGCCCAGACACGGCACTGGGCTCTTTGCATGATTCATTCCATAGTCCGTTACCTCCATTTCCCAGAAGGGAACTGCAGCTTGAAAGGTTAAGTCACCCTCTTGAATCCAGGTCCAGCTGATCCCCTACCCCAGCTTGACCCACTACACCGGGCAACCTCCCAGTGACCCTCAGATTTCACCATTTTATAGATGAGGAAACTGTGACCCAAAAAGTAAACTGAAGCCCAAAGGCTCAAGGTCCCCAGAGGGCTGATGGTCAAGCAGGATTTGACTTTAGAGCCCTCACCTCTCCTAAATCTCTCCCAAACTCCTCATTTTCTGATGGGGAAGCTGAGGCTTAGGGGGACAGGGGAACAGCCTGAGAGCCTGACCCCAGCCTCTCAGCTGTCACACCAGCCGATCATATAGGGGACAGAAAACAGGATGCTTCAGAGGGCAATGGGAGCGACTTTGGTCAATCACACCAGGGGTGCTGGGAGGACAGCCCACCCTCTGTCTCCCTGGGGCAGCAGGCAAGGGAGGCAGATGTGGGCCGTGACATCAAAGGGATCCCCCCACTCCCAGCTGTATAGAAGTTAGAGAGCGAGGCAGCGTGTGCCTGCATGGCTGTGTCACCTCGAAGACAGCCTCACTGCTCTGGGCCTCCACTCCTTTTGATGATGATGATGATGATGATAACAACCAATGCTTTTGTAGCTCTTATGATGTGCCCTGGTTCCAGTCATCTTACACATCGCTTATTGTCACACTAACCCTAGGAGGCAGGTACTATTATTATACTCATTTTGAGCCCAAGGAAGCACAGAGAGGTCAAAGAACTCAGCCAGGGTCACACAGCTGGGAAGTGGCAGAGCTGAGATTCAAACCCAGATCATCTGACTCTAGTACCAGCCTTCCCAGGTAGAATGAAATTGCCAAGAGAATTAGATTAAAC